CATACTGCATGCATTAAGAACAAAAGCAAGAGTTGTGAAAGCAGGCACAATCTCCTTCACATCGTTTTACAGGTAAATCAGAGCAAAACACAACCACTAATCTTTCTCACTGGAATCCACGCGAAAAGGCGTCCTCCTGTAGTTCGTGGCGCAACGCACTCTGGTAAAAAGTGACGCAGTGCACTCTGGTTAAATGCGATGCATTCTGGTAAAAAGTGATGAATTCGAGAATTTGGATCCCCTTTTATATATTCTTCTTAAATCCTGTTTATGTTGCTGCTCGCTCGCTACGCTCGCTCCGCAGCAAAAATTGCATGTACCTTCCTTCAGTGGGACCAGCAAACAGATTTTGGCTACGCGGACTTAGCTATTTTATAGAACTACATCAGAACCAATAGCCAGCCCAGGCTGAAAAATTATTAAAAATTGTATGCACGGCTAAGACAATTTGGAAGATTTCGGATATGTTACGTGTTTTCTTCATCTTAGCTTATAGAAGATTATTAAATATTAACTTTAGTAGGAGTCTAGGATAATCTTATTACTGTCTCATACTCTCATTTACCTCTGATTGTCTCTTCTTTGGAACTGTTATTGGAAAACGGAGGGATAATCAAAATAGGCTTATAGGTCCTTATAAGTTGTTATCCTTGTACATTGTGTCTCAGAATTTTTTAAGAAAAAGTAATAATTTTAAACTAGCTAACTGGTGTGCCTGTGACACGCCATTTCTAACATTCCTCAAGAAACTCCCATGAGACCCCAAGCGCTAAACATTACCCACACTGCTTTGCCTCGAAAACAAAAAAATGGCGGGCTGTGGGAGTCATTTCCCCGAAATAGATGAATGATTTCAACTCGTTTGAAAGTGTTCTAGTTCAAAATACAAAGGGATTCTTGTAGGGTTGAAGCAGAAAGACTTTCATTCGAGTGACGGACTTCGTTTGGATTTCTAAGAAGTAACGATCATGGCGGAAGTTTGGTTGTTTTCGTCTGTTGCCCTTGTGATCACGAAAACGAAAGTAGACGACTAGAACCGTTCGATGGCTTCTTCGACGGTGTTTCGTGGTCGACGGGTCGTAGATCCCGTCCCAGTTCAGCGAGGTCTGTCGCCGAGAGATGGAAAATACCAGTCTTCGTTCTCAGGTAGTACTTTTGAATGGTGTTAGGACAAAACTCGTGGATTTAAGCTTGCTTTGGCTTCGCTTACATTGCGATTAATCGGATCAATCATCCCGTTTTGTTTTGATGAGATCAATTTGTTTGGGACCTGCGGTAGGCAAAGTTTGAATGCAGTTTGTTGTTTTCTGTAACCATACGTTTGCATATTTTTTACTCACAATTTGATTTTAGATTTAGCGGCAGCTTGGGAAAATGTTGGGGAAGCGAAGTCTGCGGTAAGTATTGTAATCCTAGCTTGTTTTGTCTGGTTTCAGTCTCACAGGTGGTCGACTGGGCGAATTGCTTGAAGACGAATCTGGCAATATGAATAAAAGAAACGCTTCGTATAAGCCTTTTTGACCCATAGAAAACTCATCGCAATGCTGTTAGTCATTGTCTAGAAACGTTTCCCCGCATAGAAGTTTTTGCCGCTTACACTGAATTGAAACTGTAACTTTTTATCAATTAATAATTAACTCAACCAGTTTGAATCGAGTGCAAAGTGAAAGACAGTGTACAGTCAAATAAAGTACAAGAAGATTTTAAAGAACTTCTAAGGATTTTGTAGCCAATTACATCATTCTCCCAAAATAACACGAGTTGCACAATCAGAATCAAAAGGAGGTGAAAATTGTGACAAGGGTGTACAGGGAGAGGTTGAGATTGAGATGTAGTTTTTTAGATACATTCATCATATACAGGTAGCGAATGTTTAGTTATTGAGATCACTGAATAGGTTACATTATAGCAGCTTTTGATTTTCTGTACTCTGGTTAGATCAGTAGTAGTAACTTTCACTGAATGCATAGACTTTGTTTTGTGAAACAAGCTTAACAGTAATGATTGATTGCCCTGCAAGTCATTATCTGAATGTCCTAGAAAAAATCAAGTAAACAGATTCTCACCCAGAACAAAAGAAAAACAACCGCAACATAGATGTAGTTCAGTGTATTTATAGTAACGCTTGGTGTTGTTTAGCATACCATTTGTTGTGTCATGGTACAGGGAAAAATTATGTGAGGAAAAGTGTTTTGAACAAAATTGATTCTAACTTTTATTCTGATGTTGACATTATAGTCAGTAGTAATATATAATTTAGAATAAGTTTAAATTTCTATGTGATTGTGAGAACCAATGAACATTTGATTATTGTCATTGTGTTATAGAAAATATCCATATTCCCCCATAGAAGGGATTGGAATCTCCTGGGGATGGGGTGTTCTGTAAGAACAGAACATATAAAGAAATTTATGAAGCTTAATTGGAATTTCCAGAGGGGAGGGAGGGTGTAAAATTCCTTCTGTGGGGGAGGTATGGATATTTTCTGGAACTGCACGTTACACTTTGAAACATCTTTCTACAACTCCGCATTTTCTTCTGACACACAGCTTCAGGCTGCTGAAGCCAGAATAAACGAAGCAAATGCTGGACTTGGAGATAATGAAGGGCTGGACACTCCTATGGAGGAAGTATTCTCAGAGACACAGAGATATGGAAGAGTAGCCAGATATGAACTGCGGCCGAATCATTTTGGACAAGATGTAACCTCCGTGTCTGGTCGAAATAATTCAAGAAGGGCAAATGATTATCGGATGGTAAGAAAACCGGTACTAATTACGTTGTTTTATGTACAAATATACAAATTGTGTGTACTTAGATCTCTTAGTGTGTTAGGGGTTTCATGAATGTTTTCAGCTGAAAGACAACTGCTTTTCACAGGCATTCTTTATAAGAAAAACTTTCCTCTGCATGTAGATGGTCAAACCAAGTAGCTAAAATCGTCCTCACAGCCAGTCAATCTGTGTGATGCCCAGCTGTTACTGAAACCCCTAGTGTGTACATGTAGATTATAAACTGTAGCCAAATTAACTGCATACATAATCTAAGTTTTAGAATTCCATTATCATCATTTCCTTGTCTTCATTATTTGGAGAAAGGGTCCTGAAAAAGTTTACCTGAATTAAGAATAATGTTAAGGTCGGACACACAAGGTGACAAATTACTGCAACAGGTCCCTGCGACAAACTTCTCAATGTTTGTTGTTTCCAAAACAGATCACAGCGACATGATGCAGGGAAAAGTTGCAACAAAATTTTCTATTTATGTGGCATGGGGAATTCTTGTGAAAATCACCCATACTCTCAATTCTGTTGTGGCCCCATCACGTTGTGTCATAGCGACTCTGTTGCCTAGTATGTCCTGACCTTTAGTTTCCATGGAATAAAGCCATAATTTCTGCACCTTATTTTAAGTAGCAAGTAATTTCTGTGATGACATAATAACCATCCATCCATACATGTAAAAGTATTGTTCTCAGAGGTAGACTGCTTGCATATCCAGCTATGTGGTACTAGTTTGTCTTCCTGCACTCTTTATTTAATTTCTTTTGTCTTCAGAAAAAGTTTTTTTTTTCTATTTCTGTGAATTTGGTTTGAGAGTGTGTGAAGGGTGACTGCTGTGTGGGAAGAATATATTGGTAGGTGACATGATGGTCTTGACTAATGGTTTAGCATTTTGAGAACTTCTATGTCATTCTTTTCTTTACTGATTTATTATCACAGAATACCAACAGACAAGACTTACCAAGCAGAGCACCACTACACACGTCTCTTTTGTCTCCTCCATCAAAGGATATTCATGCTGAGCTTCGAAATGGTCCCACGTCAAGAAATCCACTGCCAGCCTTTCCCACATACTCCTCAGACTCTGGAGTAAGAGAGCCAGGCATTACAACGTCTTATTCTTCAATCCATAGAACAAATGAGCTGCCAGGCCGCAGATCACCTATAAGGTTTCAAGGCCTTTCATCCATTCCTTCTGCTTCCAGTTTTGACGATTCTTTGGAAGTTGGAGGTACATCTAGGCTCTCTAGGAATGAAAGTCGTCCAACATCCTCACTTGGGCTTAGACCTGTAATAGCCAATAATTCAGGTGTGTTTATTGTGGAAAATTGTTTCTTTGTTGACGGGTCAAGCTACTAACCTTGCTAATTTTCTCTTTATGTCTGAAATTTAGATGCACTTGCAAGATTAAAAGAGAGAATAAAATTACAGAAAGAGCAGGCCTCAAGACTGAGTCCAACTGGTTCTGCTAACGGTAAATGTTATTACTGATAATTAATAATTTTGTTTTAACTAATTAAATTACGCGTACTATTTTGATATGGCAGCATATTTGAAAGGGCCTGGTACAGATTAGAATATTCCTGCTTCAAATAACTTGCGGTTATTTTGTTGAGAACATGACTTCAAACAGAACAATTATGTTTTGTTTGGGTTAAGGCTACCCTGTGTCCTTTAAGCAATCTATGATACTCTCTTGATCAACTATTATTTATGTAAATTATCTACAGGTCTTAACTCTTTTGAACTTGCTCTTTTTATAAATTCATTCCTTGATAATGGTGTCATGAGGTTGCTGAAATGTCAGAACATTGTATTGTTAGTTTTTATTTGTCTGTGTAAAGTAGTTAAACTAAATTAAATTAACTTCTCTTATGCAGGAAATAGTTCTTCAAATCCGTCCCCTCCTCCAGACATCCCATCTGTGGATGCTGCAGTGGTGGAACCTTACAGAAGTGACATAGATGTTCCAGTGAGAGCAGCAATTTCAAAACGTAAAGTAGCCTCTGCCCCTGCTGCCCCTGCTTATAAAGGTAACTGTGATATTGGCAGCTTATGGTGACCTCTCAATAATGCATTCAAACTAATTACCGGCTTGTATTTTAAAAACTGGAAGCTACACTGCTATCCTTGAATCAGTAAATATCCTCTGAATATCCATCTAATCTTTCTCTTTCATAACAGTTGCATGGATTACTTACATGTACCAACCCTTGTTCTTTTGTATGCTATAGGACAAAGAAGGTTTTGCTAATAAAAAGTTTTTGTCTGTAATTAATTACAGGTTTCAGTGAGGTTGAGTCAAAGGTTACGACTAAATCTGAGGCAAACAGAAAAGTAAAAGCAAAGGGTTTTGCAGTTGACAGCACAATAGCAAATTCTGCCAACCTTAGACCTCCAAAACCACTGCAAAAGAAAGGTACGTTGCTCTCTCTTATAAATTTGTATTAATTTTTCTAACTAATAAAATTTGCTGAGATACAATATAATCTTTCTTTCTTTAGCACCTCCTAAAGTACAGCGAGTTATAGCTCCTTGCCGTCCAACAGATATCATCACAACGTCTTCATGGCGCACTGGTCAGCGAACTGTGAAAAGGATCTTGGGGCCTGCTAAGAAGACATCAAGTTCTGCGACAGGCCGTCCCCAGTCAAGTAGCAGTCAGGACACAGATGTGTCAGAACCCAGGAGTCTGAATTTCCAGTGGAAAGATGAAGATGATGACAAGAAGGGTGGCGAGAAAATGAATGGTGACACTGCCGTAAGGGATGGAAGTACAAACGTTGAGGTTCCCAGAGAAAAGTCTCCAATGCACGAAGAACACATTAATGGACTAGATTCTGGTGAGAAGGCTTGCTGACAAGGAAAAGATTGAACTTGCAATTTGTATTGCTACGTGTATGAAAATGTTCTATGCATTTTTCCCTCTTTGAACAGATTCTGAGCTTTCCCAACACTCTTCAGGTCCAGCAGCAGAATCTGAAGCAGATGTCAGTGAGCAGGACATGAAGGATTTAAAAGGCAATAAAATGCTGTCAATGGAAGCCAAAAATATTTTGTCTGACCTAGAGTTAGATACTGATGATGAGGCGGGTAGGTATTTCTCACTCATTGTTAAGTAATAGGAAATAGAAAACATTTTCTGTGTTTCTATTGAGCTTTAGAAACACGTGTGGAAGTTTGGGAGAACGAGAAATGCTGTGGGACAGGAGTGTGCTGTGGGGCAGAGGTGGACAGGCTTTTTAGAGTTCTCTCAAATTTTCCTAAGTGCTCTATACATGTAACCTGCTAGAAACATGCAGAAAATGTTTTCTATCTTTTCTTAGAGAACAACCTAAAGACAAAAAAACAGTGTGACTACAAAAAGGTTTTCTCAGTTTCTATCGAGTTATTATCTGCGTGGGTATTTTCTTTGGACTATTTTCTAAATTCAAATCAAGTTTTTTCAAAAAATACATTTTTCAATGTGAATGTCTTTAGAAAATAACTACTAAGTCACTCATTTTAATGTTGAACTTTTTCAGAGAAGGAGATTGAAAAGGCAATTCCTGAGTCCAAACCCAAACAGAGCAGAGTGAAAAACTCATCAAAGAGAACTCAGAGAAAGACACCATTTCATCCACAGTCACAAGGTGTGAAACAAGTTGTTTTTTATTCTCTTTGATCTGTGACAGGAAATTGCAAATACAGGAAATACGTCTATTTTTACATACATGTGTTGCCTTGACCTTGATAATGATCAGAAAAGCCACTTACCACGCAATTGAAAACAGTTCTTACTGGTATACACACATAATGTAATTTCCCAGAACATAGTTTCTCCCAAAACAAAACAAGATGCCCGGCAGTTCACTGCGTTGAATTTGTAACATTTTGTTTAACAGAACCTTTTTGATTGCCGGTTGAATAATGAAGACACAAAAGAATTTTTAACTTGTTGTACCAGTTACAGAATTTTAAAATTATCAATGTTTGTTTTTAGTTTCACAACAGCCAGTCTATCCCAAGCAAAAGTCAAGACACTATGATGCAGATGAAGTTAAGGTTGGCGGCAATGATTAAGTTTTGAGTGTTATGATTTGTAATAAATTTTTAAGTAGTTGTGCATGTATTATGTTTTTTTAAGCTACAAAACACTTGATTCAGTGTAAGGCAACAAAAGCATCTTCTTGTCTGTAGCTTATACACCTCTGTATCTGTATCAAGCTAGAATATTCCTTTTGGTAGATTTCCTTTATAATTCTTGAAGTAAATATTTCAAATTGTTTTTTGAGCAGAAATACATGGCTAAACAAATGGCAGAGAGAAAGAGAAAGTTGAAAGAGGACAAACTTCTGAAAAAAAGGGCAGTGGAAGAAAAAAAGAAGAAACTTGAGGTATGTTGTGCTGTTTAATATCCTTACACAGTGGAACTCCACCTTACGGCCACCCCATTATTATGGCCACCTTGTTATTACTGCCACTTTACATGTATTTTGGCCTGAGCAAAAGCTTGGTCAGTCATTTTGTCATTCAAAGAACCCTTTTAATACGGTCACCCTGTTAATACGGCCACTCCATTAATATGACCAGATCTTTTTGAGGCCAGTTGGTGACTGGATTAAAGGGGTTCCATGGTAAATGTTAAATATGTTTAAGTTTCCTATAGTTTACATGGACATCCATTTGTCGCAACCTTTTTATCAAAATTTGATTTGGAGTAATTTTTTTTCTCAGGAACTGTACAGTAGGCAGAAAAAGAACCTTCAAAACAATCTTCATCATAAAGACAAGAAATCATTTGGGGAGACTTATTCTAAAGGCCGTAGTGATCTCAGATCTGTTATTTACCCTTACAATCATCCTTTTCAACAAGATGAAGTAGAGGTAAACTGTAGTTATTGATATTTTACACATTATGTACAGTAGATCTCGTTTTCAAGGGTCCTCTATGTTTTAACAGATCTTTAACAGCACAAGAAGAGCATTTGAAGAAGAAATGCTTTAATGCTAAAGAGATCCTAACCATCGCATTACATGATACAACTGCCTAAGGATGCATAAATTACGACATACTTATTCATGCTCTTATTCACTCATGCACATTCTTGTACGTGCATTCTTGTACATTTTATACATAAATTAGCACATTATCACATTCTATCAATGGTAAAATTGCACAAGCAACATGGGATAATAATTATTAACAACATTGCAGGCCGAATAATTATGATGAGTGTAATATGACGGGACAAGACATAAGACAAACCAAATAATGTGTATCAAGACCTTCCTCTTTGGAAATACATTCATAACTTATGAACTACACTCATTTCACATGTACATTGTACGTGTAGCTAAAGCTGCTATTATTTTTTTTCCTCTCTCTTTTTTTTTTGAAGTGTTACAGTGAAGACACTGGAGTTAGTGAATCAGACAAAGGTATTTATATAAAAAAGAATAAAAAATAATGTGCTAGCTCAATGAATGTGATCCTTGCAATTTTGAAGGAAATCTGCTCTGATTTCTTCTTGAAAACTGATCATTGAAAATTGGTATCACCTGATATGCTCAATCAGTGATAAATCAATAAGGCTGAAAATTGTCCTGCAAAGAGATTTTAATCAATTATTTCTTCAAGTGAGTTTCATCAACTGTTGCATGTTTTCTTGCAGCTCAAGAAACAAAATGTCTCATTAAGTGACGTGTTGGGCAAGTGCTGAAGTATCCTAAATAGGCTTGTGATATCTGATGTCATTGTGAAAAGGAACCATCAATGTCTCAATGATGTTTAAAAAATTTAAAAATTTTTCATGTCTTGGACCTTGTAGTACTTAACAATAAATACTTCAGTGGCAGACCTGAATAACACAGTAGCAAAACAATGTTCTACTCTGTAAGTATGTGCTTACGGCAGTCATTGATTGTTTCAGAAAATCTTGACATCGCCTCCTTCAGAGGTCTCCCAGCTTATCCAGCTTTTAAAGGGAATGGCAATGACCACCACAGCCTTTCTAGTTCACCATCAGGGTCCATGTCTCCAGAACCTGACCAGTTAAGTGACAGAGAAGAGAAGAGTCAAGTTCCACATGTGACAAGTGTATCAGTTGGCACTAAACTGGTTGATATCAGGCCCTCTGCCTATGTTGGCTTCCCTGAAGGTACAGCATATGTAAAATGAACTCTTGTGTTAACCCATTTGCCACTAAGACAGGGCTCAAACTTTACATTTTTGGATAACTAGCCCGTTGGGTTAGTAGCCATAAATTCTATTAACCAAATTATGAGCTATTAATTTTGGTCCTAGTACATGATGTCCAACTTCACTGAAAAATTAGCCAGACAATTTTAAAATGTGGTTGGACAATGTCTGATGATGGTGACTATTATTTCCAACATTGTTCTTAATTTTTAATTTCTTTTTCACACAGAAAAACCAAGAGATGACATCTTGGCAACCAGAAGTGACTTGGAGCCTCATTCTTCCAGTCCAAACCCTCCAGACAGAAACAGACCAGGTGCTGTGCCTTTAACTGGTGTGTTTATGAATTGTTTGTGTATTTGCATTGTAGTTCTAGTTAAATTAAATGCTACCCAGGATTCAATACTAATTTATCGCAGTCCAGTGACTTGTTGGTCGTTTTTAGCAGTAGTTCTGTGACCTGTGATACAATATTATACTTGAAGATAACTTGGGACACTATCAGGCCTTCATGATATGCTTATGCTAGACTGCACTTCCTCTTTTTACAAATCTGTGGCTCATTGGCTTTTCTTAGTATTGTCAGTTAGTTTGTAGCTATTATTTTAGAAGTATCGCACAACAAGTTCAGACTGAGAGGAAGTTATCTCTACATTTAATAAATGGTATTACACTTCTCCAATGGCCCACAGAGAATGAAGAATTGAAACTGTCGGGGAGTCCTCCCAGAGAAGACAGAATTGCAGCCATCAAACAGACTGCAGCACAGCTCAAACAGCGACTGGAATCAGAGGCTTGGAGACTGGGCTTAAACCTACAGCCTGCATCACCTAGAAAACCAGATGAACAACTAGGAACTTTAACATCAACTAGTGACTATACAGTCTTTAAGGGAGCACTCCCAGGTATGACCACTTGACATTTTTAGTACATTTTGTTGGTGACTACAGAATGAAGGCTCTTCATATTAACAAAATTAGTGAGCATATTTACCCTGTAAAAATGCTAATCACAGGTTGTGTTTTTTGTGTTTTAGGAGTTGACAATCTCCATGAACAAGCAGAGCTTAATCAAGAGCTGGTAAGTAATTTCAATTTAAATCAAATTTTCAAATGTGTATAAGGATTCTATTATAATTCAGGGTTGCCAGGGTGAGGGGAAAGTCAGGGAAAATTAGATTTTATTCAAGGTCAGGGAAAAGTGAGGGAGTTTCTAAATCCCTGTTCAAAGTCAGTGAAAAGTCAGGGAATTTTATCTTAAGGTTGCCGCAAATTATTTTATTAGATGTTTTTGTATAGACAAGGCAATTTTGTTTTAAAAATTATCTGAGCCATCCTTATTTTTGTTGATTCATGGCCAGGATAGTCATTCTGCAGGGTCAGTGAAAATTGCTTTACAGTCAGTGGAAAGTCAGGGAAAAGACAGGGATTTTTTTTGTTCTGGTGGGTGGCAACCCTGTAATTCTAGATCAATAACCTTGAGTAGTGCATGTTTTTGTTTAGATGTAGTTTGCAAGTTTTGTGTAACATGTACATGTTTTTATTGGTGGGTGTACGAGAAATTTTCTCTTTGGAACTGAAACCATAAACACTAAGAAGAGAAGGAAACGCTTTTGTTGATGGCTGGTAGATAGTGGTTCACATGCTAGCACCACTGAAATTTTGACATTGTATTCTCTCCAGGATTCCAAGACAAGTGCTGCAACAACAATCCAAGCTGCCTTCAGAGGTCACAGTGTTCGGCAGGGTCTCAATTGGAAGCTACCCTCTGGTAGGACCCTTAGGTCCACCATCAGGGAAGGGCTACATCAAAGACCAAGAATTTCAGGGGCTGGGGCATCAGAGTCGTCCCAGTACTCCACAGCCAGGGACACTGTGGTCCCTAATGAAGGAAACAGCAGCATATCTGATATCAATACATCATACAGTTCTGCCCGCTCTAATGCTCAATCGCCAACACACAGCTCAAGATCTCTAAAGGTAAATGTTGTTTTGTATTCATGATAGTTGTAACACATTCAGAGGATACCATAATGTCAATGCCATCATGATTGTAAACAAAATGTTTCAGGCACTTAACAACATGCCAGGTGACTGAAATCAATCTCAAATTCTTAAAGTGTCACAACAGCTACACAATATTATGGGCCATTTCTGAGTTGCCTTTTGCCTCTGTGTCAAAACAAGTCTGTGTGAAACCATAAGAAAATGTGTTCCACTTACAGGTTCATATTTTACGTAAGTCAAACTCAATTCATTTGAGAGGTTTTGCACAAGGACTTGTTTTGAAACAGAGATATAACGTAACTTGGAAATGACCTAACTGGAAAAAATTTGTAGTTGCTTCCCTACTGTAATTTAGAAAAAAAAAAAAAACATCTGTTAAATCCGCATGCCTGACATTGCCTTGGTCTTTTTTTTAGGATGACAGATCATTGAGTGTTAGAAGTCCATCTTTGCATGAATCAGAAAGAAGAAAACATGTTACAGGTACATGCATCACTTTGCAGCAAATATCGTGGGGTACTTACAGAGCATGTAATACTACTGTGTGATAGATGGATGATCTGAAGTCTGCAGTTAAGCTTTTGTCTTTGAATGAGATCGTTTCATTGCTGTACTCTGAATAATGTAAGCATTTCGTCTTTTGTATATGAAGGATTGTCTCATTAGCAAGCATTAAGGTTTTATATGTGTAGTGTTTCATTTGTATCTCTCTCATTTCACAGGGCACGTGTCTAAACAGTCCAGGGAGACAAAGCCTTCAACTCATCCTTGGAACAGCAAAGGTGGTGACAGGTAGTTACCTTGAACTGGATGCTCATTTCGTGTCAAAGGACATGAAGACGTGTACTTAAAATAGTATAAGTAAACAGCTTAGATGACAGAGACATCCCTGAGTGACTTACGTAATAGTTTTGGTAAATGTGAAATTAAAGCTCTGTATCATTAATGTGACTGGAGTGTACCATGTTGATACTGATAAATATTTGTTTCTTCACAACTTTTAATTTCAGGTTGAGTGTCATCAATATTTTCACGAGAAGAAACCCTCACTTGAAATTTCTGCCCACAGAAGGTAAAATATTGATACTTGTCTCCAGCAGTTTTTCATTTGTGCCACTCACTAAAACGATTATTTCAAGTATCCTGAAGCATCATTTACTCACTAAATGTTTGTATATTTATGCCAGAGGAAAGTTTAGAGGAGGATGGATTGGAAACAGGGAGTCTTCTCGAAGAAACCTTGCTAGACAACAGAGCAGGAAAAACAGCGAGTCTACTGGAGCCAGGTGCAGACTTGGATCAATCTGGAGGCCTGTTAGAGCAAACATTAGTGGAAGAATCTCCTGAGAAGAGTCAAGACCGTGATGAATATGACGATGATGACTTTACAGGCTCATCACAGGGAAACAAACGTGAAGGAAGTGAAAAGGTACATGTATGTAAATCAGTTACAGCTGGGAAACTGCTTTTAAGCTTTCAAAGGTTTCAGCTGTCAAAATAACAGTTCTCCACGCTGGGTGCCACACATTCCTTTAATTTATGGGAATTTGATGGCTCGGTTTTTCTACGTGAATTAGCAGCATGTGTGGTCATGTGTTTCAATTACACTTGTATTCCGATTCTTCGAGCATCCAAGGGAAACGAAAATTGGTTCGAAGAATCGGATATTTCGAGAAGTCGGGGGTAAAATTTAGTGTTCCACTGAGGGAAAAGAAACGACAAGGTTTGGTTTGAGTTTTTGAAAGGCTGGAAAAATCAAGGGTTCGAGAAATAGGGATTCCACTGTTTTTTCTTTAAATTTGCCGAGGAAATCGGAGCAACATTTCATGTACTCTGGTCCGATTTACATTGAATCATTATAAATTAGTTTCCTGTGGTATTTCTTTAGGGCAGTTTTCAATTGAGTGTCGTGAAACCAAAACCAAAGTAATCACTCTAGCCAATCACAAATTACACAGACCATCCAAAGAACCAATCAAAACTCAAAGCAAACGCACGTAGCCGACGTAAAGCGCGGGAAAACGTGTGCGAGCGAGTTACGATTGGTCTTGTTTTTTACTTCTGATTGGATAAGAAAGTGGCTTGAGTATTTTTTTAAGCCAATCGCCTAGCAAAGTAATGCCAGACCAAAGAAAACGCGAATTATGTTCGACACCCTAGTGAAAACCGCTCTGTTATATAATGAATTTTAATTTGAAGCGCATGGAGAGTAATATTATCAAGAATTCCTTGTTTCTAAATGAATGACAAGTTTTGTTTTCCCCTTGCAGCGCACTCCAAGCCCTGATAGGACTCTACTCTCTGCTGACAGGAGTCTAGAGAGTGGTCCACTGTCACCCACCCTGTCAGAAGGAGAATTGTCCCGTGCAAGCGAAGTTAGCCAGCGCTCTCCGACTTTCTCTTCCACACGGGTAAGAATCTGACCTGCTGTTTCGGAAAAATAGTTCTCCGAGATTCATCTCGTTTTTGTTTCTGATGTTTCTGATGTCAGATGAATAGGTGCCATCTTAGACAAAAGCTGGTAGAGTATTAAACCGAAGCGTTTCTGATTTGTATCTTGTGACCAGGAAAAAAGCTTGAGTTGCAAGGCCGGTTTGCACAAGTGTGTCACGCTAGTAGTCACGCCAGCTTTTCACGAAGGGGATTAGTTTGTTTGCTCAACCGAAAATAATGATGAAAAAGAACCTAGTATAGCTTAGTTGATGAAGTTATATTTCAGTATTGACAAACGATTTTCCCGTTTACACAGCGTTCTCCTCCAAGAGACCAAGAGACTCAGAGCCATCTTCCCCCTTATACCCCACCAACTCGCCCACCTCCATCAGTGTTCACGCCCTCTCATCAGGGAGGTGACCGCCTGTCACCTGGGTCTCTAGACATGAGGCTGACAGCAGAACTCAACAGACTGGAGTACATGGAGGAGTCAGTGCGCCAGCTGACTGATGTTGAACGAACTCGTGCAGTTTCCATGGCGCAACAGGAGACTGTCTCATTGGCTCAGATACTCAAGGTTAGTACCTCACTTTAGGGTATGGCATTGTCCTCTGAGGTGAAAAAAGGGGAACTCCAGTCTTCTTTTGCATTGTCGAGTTAATGTCTGTATCGTGGATTGCCTTTTGACAGCAACCTAATCTGCCAGGCCCTGAGGTGGTTATTTCGTCACGAGGCTAGCTTCAATGACGTGCATTAACGGCTAATATTGTTATGTGTTATTTTCTCTCTGTTACTTTCAGTCCAAACAACTTTCACACGCTCGTGATATGGAGAATCTAAGGGCTAAAGCTCGAGAGGAAGCTTTAGAGGCAGCCAAACAGCTTGAAGAGGTACAATTTAAATTTTGCTTGTAACGAACTTCATCTGATTGAATTGAACCGTAAACGTACGGACAATAACAAAGTTACAACAAGGGCCTCACAGGTGACATGTGTAGAACAACTTCGTGAGGAAATGTTTGCACACAAGCTTGTCTCGTAGGTAGTGGTCACGTTAGTTTTCAGCGTGTCAAATTTCATGCAACATGGTCTATTGGTCAGCTGGTTACTAAAGCTTTGTTAAGGTTGTATTAAAACTTAGTTTCCGATTCACATTAATATCCATGGTGAAAAAGGGCATTCATTAAAACCTTTAGTGCTTTTTATTTTTCGTTTCCCGTGGTCTTGTAGAGATCTACTATAACTAGTCGTTTTGATTTTTTCCAGGCCCGCCGTGCTGCAGCGGATGCAGCTGCAGGTGCTGCGGAGACAATTGCTCGGGTCAGACTTGAAGCGGCTGCTAGCATTTCAGAATCCGCTGACAGGCTAGTGAAGGTAACATATGACGTGATTTTATATTCCATACTCGTCATATTCATTTGAATGTGTTGCATTGTTTTATGGTCTGTTTTTCTTCTCCAAGGTGCAAAGTGAGGCAGCGCGAACAACAGCAGAGTCAGCCAAGCATGTGGAGGAGGTATGTTTTGATGAATCAGCATGACTGATAATGCATCAATCGGCCGAGGAAGAATGAGCGGAGAATAACACAGACAGAGCCTAGAAACGCGCAGCGCTTATTATTAAACTAAATTAAACCCGGTCGAGATTTACACAGGAATCTGTAACCACCACAAGTTGAAGGCTACGTTTTGTTACAACGTGGAGCCGTATTTCACGTACCCTTTGAGTTTCAGGTGACGTTTAGACCTGATACAATGAGAGTGAACATTCGTTCGACTCCTGTTTAGACCAGCGACGGTAAAGATAATCAGTCCCAATTGGTCAGTTGGGTTGGTCAGTTTAGTGTCAAGATATTACTGTAATTTCTCGCTGCGTCTCTTTTCTTTTGTTTCCAGGCCCGCTCTTCAGCCGCACGGACTTTATTAGATGTTGCTAGACAACAGACTGTGGACACACGAGGTGTTGCCGCCGACGCAGCCAGCGCAGCCGCAGAAGCTGCTGTCAAGAGCACCATGGCACGCTTTCACGAGCAGCAAGAACAGCTGTTAAGAGAAAGAGAGGCGCGACTGAAGAGCTATCGTGACCAGAGTCACGACGAACGCACACGTGACAGTTACTCAAGCTACTCGGCCAGTGAACGCACGGCAGACAGCTACTCTAGAACCAGGACTTCACGGCCAGGAACAGACGCGTTGGACCGGGCTTCCCAAGCCAAGGGTAGTCCTGGTAGCAGGACGTATGTTAGTGATGATTTAGATATTTCTAGAGGCTCGCAGCAAGATAGAACTACAAGGTAAATGAAATTGCTCACTCATTTAGGGCCTCCACAGACTAGACATTTAGTTGTCGACAACTATTTGTTATCGACAACTGATTGTGTCCGATGCGAGCATTTCACACATTGGAGTGTTAGTTGTCGATGTTTAGTCAGGTCAGCGAGACCTTGGGAACTAACTTTCACTGCGCATGCTCAAAACACAATACGCATGCTCAAACCAATGTCCACCGACAACGCAGTTTCGATAGTTGTCGACAACTAAACCAATGATTCCCACACACGTAAAAAAAACGGTCAAAACGTGGTTGTCGACAACTTAATAGCGTTTAGTTGTCGACAACTCCTCTCACACGCTACGCTTTTCAGTTGTCGTCTAGTCTGTGGAGGCCCTGAGTGTTATTTCAAAAAGTCGTGCTACAGAAACTTGTAAAAACGCAGAAAAACATACTTTTTGTTCTGTGGGCATATGATTCTGGTATTTCACTTCTAGTGATGGTATTTATTTTTAAAACGTGTGAATTTCTTCGTACAAAGAGGTCAGCGCAGATCACTGATGTATTAGCATATATACAGCTGCGCAATTTGGAAAATTGTACAAAAAGGTAATTTGAGGACTGCTAAAATTTGACGACGTCAGTGTGGTAGTCAGAGGATTTTTTGAGTTGAATTATTTCGTAACTGGACTAGGATGTATTTGTGTCACCTGTAATATTGCGCAAGGGACTGTCCAAATCAATGTTGATTTGAACACGTGTCCAAATGAAGAATTAAATTAGACAGTCTGCAAAAGTAACAAACATTTTGGGCTGGTATTGTTTAATGAGCAATATTTATTAGGTGACTTGCGCTAATGTCATTGTTTATATCTCCATTTTAGAAATTTAAAACCATAGCTTGGACTCAGAGGGTCAAAGCATTATTTATTATTCCGCTTGCTTTCTTTCGTTAGCGTTCGTACAGCAAGTAATTTGTCAGTGGACCGTTCCTTGAGCCGCAGCCGTCGCACTCCGTCTCAGGCGGATCCCGCTTCACACTCGAAGCACGCGCCGTCAGCCGGAGAGGAGTCGGGGAGCATTCCTGAGGAGATGGAACACAGTGTTGCTGAAAGCGTCCTGTCTGATATCGGGCTTGATGTGGCTGAAGATGATTCGCTGGCAGAGGTGTTAAGCGGGGATAACCTTAGGAAACCTACTGGTAAGTACATGTAGATCTCTATAATACGTTTGTTTGAAGATGTGACGAGTCTCTCCAGTCGAATGACATACGTACTTCAATCAACCGCTCACAACGAGCGAGCAAGAATCAAGCAACTAAACCTAAATAAAACTGCTTTGATTTTTTACATTTAGAGCGCTTGGAGAGGTCTCCTGAAGACGACTACACGCTGAACTTTGAAGAGTCGGTGATGTCGTCGCATACAGCTACAGATGACGAGATCGACTTTCGAATGATTCTTCCTTCTGAGAGCCACAGGCGTCGGAGCCTGGGAAAGACCGGAAGGAGCGGCAGCATACCCTCTGACCAGGGCACTGTGTCGTACTCGTCTGTAAGTATGGAAGACCTGGGCAAAATATTAGCAACTTAACTGTAAAGCTGTGGAGGCGCGGTGGCCTCATGGTTAGTGCGCTCGACTCCGGATCGAGCGGTCTGGGTTCGAGCCCTGGTCAAGGACATTTTGTTGTGTTCGTGGGCAAGACTCTGTACTCTCACAGTGCCTCCCTCCACCCGGGTGTATACAAAGGTGCGATGGGCTAGCATTCCATCCAGGGGGGAGTAGAAATATACGTAGTCGCCTCATGCTTTAGAAACCGTGGTGGGCCACTTGGGCTCGTATGCAGACTTTACCTTAATATAAAACGGGAAATTTAAAACTGCTAAGTCTTCTTACGCCTTAATAGGCCTTGCGCCATAATTGTGCGGTAGATCCGATAGAAAAGAGAAATTCGCCAGATGTTATTTTATTTTATGTTTTAGTGATGGTAGTTTTTTTTCGTTCAGAATGGAGTGAGTAAACAATACAGTTCGGCTTTTCTTGTGACGCACGACTGAGTAACCTCTGACTTGTCATGATGCAGCACTATGTATTTATGTAATTTCCGTTCTATTTTTAGGACGATAACCACGATTCGCAGGATTTTCCAGTTGATAAGGTAAACGTTATTTTACTTGCGAAAGACATCCTTGTTAAATGGATATTGAAAGTAATGATCGCACTAGGACCATCTTGTGACAGTTGTCATCCATGGGAAGCAGGGATGACGCAGTGGTGAGAGCGCTCGCCTCCTACCAATGTGGCCCGGGTTCGATTCCGGCCCGGTGCCATATGTGGGTTGAGTTTGTTGTTGGGTCTCGCCTTGCTCTGACGGTTTTTCTCCGGGTTTTCCGGTTTTCCTCCCTCCACAAAAATTCCAATTCGACCAGGATAGCGGACCTCCATGAAAACCAGCTTAGAGTGATGTGGCTGCTTCTCTTGATATTGTAATTTTCATCCATTGACATTAGTTACTACGGTTTAAATGGGGGAAATTTTCTTTATTTGTTCAGAGCCTTGAAGTTCACACTGTTAACGTATCTTAACACTCTCGCTTGTTCTTATCAGGTGCTGGAAGAGTTTTCCGCGGCGCCTTTTTCCGGTGAGGACTCGTTCTCCCAGTTCACGTCCGAAATGGTCCGTTTGATGAAAGAGGAAGAAGTTCGAGCCAAACATCAAGCGGGCCTCCTGCGCCTTCGCGAAAAAGCCCTCAAGGAAAAGACGCGAGCCGAGATGGCCTGGCTCGAGTGTCAGAAACAAAGGCACCGCGATAAGGGTGCTGATGACGTCATGCCGTCAATCAGAAAACGCCAACGAGGGGTTCTGATGAGACTTCAAGCTGAACAGGTAGGGTTGTAGGACAAGTGTCGCATTCAGTGCTAGAAATTTAGTGTACGTCAACGCCGCATGAATTATTTTCTGTTTTCTTTGAAGGAGACTAGGTTACGCAATTTTCGGCGATTTTAGCGATGACCACAATTTATAATAGCTTAAAAAAGTAACTGTACACGAATTTTAAAAAAAAAAAACACAGAAAAGCCCAAAAGAGGCACAGATTGGTAAAGTTGGAGACGATTGTAACGGAGCGCATTCGGGTAAACTTGAAAAATGTCGAAGTTTATCTCAGTTTCTATGAATGCGTTATTTCTTACGGTGGTAAACCATCTTCGTGTGTCTTGTGGCCGTGGTTTTGTTAAAAAAATGCTTGATCTGTCAATTTGAAGTTTAGAGCTCGTAATTACCAAAAATAAACGTAATTGCCTAAACATTGGGACCTATCCCCTTATTAATCACCAGCTCTAAGTCTAAACAAAGTAGATATCTGAGCATGAGAAGCCGCATTTCAAACCAATTTTCGTCATTTTGTTTCTCTTCAGGCGGAGATCAAGCGTCTGAAAGCAGCGAACCGTGCAGCCAGTTATGAACGTCGCCTGCTGTTGATGCAGCAGGAGGAGATAGCCCGACTAAGGAAAAACACCAAGAAAATAAGAGAGAAAGCGGCCACAGAGCAAGCCACTCACGGACAGGAACGAGGAGAAAAAACTGCAGAACAGGACTTTATTGAACAACCCAAGGTAAGATTTTGATTAACAACGGAGAACTAAGCTAAGTATGAAAATTCAAACAATTAAGGATTCATACTACCTCTGATGTATGAAAATTCTTTCAAATTGTAGAATTTTCAAATATCACTCGCAGTGTAAATCCTTATTTGCACTCGCATTCATACCATTACCCATACATATTTGTGCAGCAATGGTTTTGATTAAAACCAGAGAATAAGCTAAGTGGATAAGTTTTAGGCTTATAAATTAGAGAGGAAGAACCTCGGCTAGTCAAGTCTGTCAAACAAAACAGTTTTTAGATACTGTTATCATTAGTGACTTGTCATGTATGAAGGATCAAATTTAACTTGTTAGTATATCGTAATGATTAGACATAATTAGGTACAATCAAACAGTAATTATTGTAATGTAAGAGGTTTCTATTTTGTAATTAATGCAAGTAATACCTAGTTCACGGCTACTGGAAGTTATGAATGTGATCTCGTGTTCTTAAATAAGGTGATGATGAAATGCATTTATTTCAGAGCGAAGCTGAATCAACTGAAATAATTGAGGAGCTTGAAGAAAAACCCGCTGACCATTCCACTCGCAGCCGTTCATCCGTTTTAGAGGACATTACGACTGCCTCACCTTCGGCTTCTGCAAACGCGAGTGTCGCTGAAGAACTTCCTAGCTACCAGTCTCCTGGAGCAAGTCGGACCGAGACTCGCCCGTCCAATGGCCACGGAGGGTCTGGTACTGCTGAGAGGAAGAGACTGTTGTCTGAGGGAGACAGTGACGAGGGATCGGCCAAAGAAGGGACCCTCTCGGCTAGCAAAGGATCACCAACAGCTTCTGACTCGACTGTTATGCAGAAACTGAAGAAGTTAAAGAATCAGTCCAGCGAAAGGTCAGTCGGAATAAACGACAAAAATGTATTAAAGGTATAGATTTAATGCTTTTGAAAATTGCATCAGCTCTATCCTTAGGCACGTTTCGAAACATCGGACGTCTTACTTCTCGGTGTGTCGAACCGTCCACACTAAGCCGGAGGAATTTAAAAACGGAGTTTTCACTCTTATCTGAAAACGCGTCAAATGTTTTCCGTCCACATTACGCCGGAGGAATTAAAAAAACGCGACAATCACCGTTCATTTTGGATTTTGTTTGAAAAAAAAAAAAAAAAGAAAAAAAAAACTCGGGCAGCGAAATCACATGAGTATCGTGAGGTCATCGTTTCAAATAAGCTCGGTTTTCAAAATGTTTTCTGTCCTCACGAAAACGAAAAGCCGGCGTTTTCAAATTCCTCCGATTTCAAGAGCGTTTTCGAAAAGTTCCGTTTTCTGGACGGATTAGAGTGGACGGTAGGCCTAACCGTAGAAATAAAACTGCTTTTTCAAATTACTCCGGCGTAGTAAGGACGGGGCCTAAATCGAGCCGGATGTCTAGCGGAATTAAACTGGCATCTCAACCGCAATGCATTGTGCAATGCCTCATGCCCATTGCTTGTCTCAAAGATTTTAAGATGATGTTGGTGAATTCATACTCTATATATCACGCAATTTTTCACAAAATCATTCTCTAGCTTGCTTTCAAACCAGAAGAAATATCGTGACACTTGGAAGTATTTGCAAAGTTATCCGAGTTGTTGCTATAATGGTCTTCAGCACTGTTTACATAAGTAAAACGGTCTTCAGAGGCGAACGAAGGAGTACGTTTTGCCACGTGGCTGAGCAATTAATTTGATGCCAGTTCCTATGTTAACGTTCATGTAATACGCATTGTGGCCTAACGTAAAGAAAATTAAAGGTTTTTTTTTTATTATATAAACAGAAACAATTTGATTCGGCTGATTTGTTTGGGTTGAATACTTGGATTTGAACTTGAACAAGTTTGATTTTGCACTTGACTGAGTTGGGCTTGTTCTTTTTTGGGAGTTGGATAATCTACTCTGGATTTGGTTTGATTTTCACTTGACTGGCTTTGATTTTGCTCTTGACTGGGTTTTGGGCTGAAGTGGTTGTCGAGACTATACATTTTCTACGTTTTTCTTATTTTCCACAAGAGACTATGGTCTCTTGTTTTACAAAATTCATGCCACGTAACATTTTTTGTTATTAGTCGAAACATATCTAAAATATATATCTAAAAAAATCATCTTTAACCATTTATGGAAATGGCTTTTTAGGAAAATTTCCACTGTACTAAATTTACACAGCCGCTTTGATCCTTGACACCTTTTCTCAAAATTAACTGATTACTTATACTTGGCATAAACATTTAAAAAAGGAAAATGAGGTTAAGCAGTGTATTAAATATTGACGTCTTTTAACGTTTCTACCTTATGGCAGACTCGAAGAATCCTACTCGTAAACAAAAAAAAAACTTCGTTTGATTTGAGCTTTCTCCGTTAGTTTAGCTATCAATTACAGCGTACTTTATTTCAGAAAGTTATCATAAACTCTGCTTACAAAATGTCAATACTCATTCAACTTAATGAAGCTCAGGTGATTTTATCTTCGTAATCTTCAAATTCTCATTTCTCAAAACTGGTTGTAGAGGAATCATATTGGAATCAGTAATGGTGTTTAATTGTATTTAGAGCTTGATATAAAATGGGTTTTTGGACATGGTGACGCTGAACAAATGACGACTGAACATGTTCTTTGTAAGAGTGAAGCAAGATTAGCAAACAATTTATTGCACAGTAAGTGTACAACTTTGAACTAAATGAAATTATACTTAGTTTTGTCTTAGTCGAGAGCAAACCAATAAGCTTTTTAAACAGCAATTAAATTTGTCGCACAACATTGCACACAGCGAGTTGTAAACTGTTTTAATTCTAGGAAAGAGATCCCTTGAGACCTTTGTCTACATATATTGTTTCATTTTAAAGGCAAAATCTGTGTCGGATCTCAAACACAAAGCCGATCTTGTCGTTTATTGACCAGCTGATCGGTTTTGGATTTGAGTTCGACGATTAATCAGATTGTATTGATGTGTATGTTTGCGGAATGCAATATCGCCATAGCTGTAACAGATCATTTCTCAGATCGGAACATGACCGCCTAAAGAGCTTGTCAAAACACCGAAATGCAAATGAAACCGGTCTCACGATATTTGGCGAGAAAAAGCTGCGGTGTGTTGTGTTATGCTATGATTTGCGAGCCGAATCTCACAGAAACTTCTAATTGCTTTACCGCGCCGCCAAGTCGAAATTTAACAAATATAATTTCACGATTCGCCGATTTTTGAATCTGTTCTATTTAACAATTCTGTCTTCCTGCCGTGGGCTTTATTTCGTCAGCTAATATAATGTGCCCAGGCTCATTCGCCGAGGGTAAATTCCTGTGTCATTGAAATGTTCTGACGTAAGCAATCGCTTAGGATTCTGTAAGTTCTGTTGCTGAAGAGACGCGAAGTTTCTTTTCTGTGTGTGGGGCCATCCTTAAAGCTACCAGGTTTGACCGTGGCTGTGATTGAGAACGGCTTATTACTTTCCATGGTCAGTTAAGTTGCAATGCGTGATTTGTTTGTTTTTTTTTCTCTTTGTTGCGTTGACATTCGTTAGATTTTTAATTCGGACTTGTACGGATTATGTCATTTTTATTTAACGATGTAAAAATACCGAATATTTGTAGGGAAAGACTTATTTACCTTCTCGATTTTTTTTCAACAAAGGTATCTTGCGTTTCTCTCTTTACAATCTGTGTGGATGCAATGTTTACACTGGTTTATTTGCGAAATGTTAAAGGCGATTGTGTAACATTTGACAATACAACTTGTAATCACTATTTAAAAATACTCAACTTCCGTTCAAAGGGCAAATCTAACTGTACTCACATAAATTACCCGTCACTGTTTTGTTTTTTTGATGGTGGCTTACCGGCAAAAATGGTTTATTCGCTTTTTCTTGAAGCGTTTGCTGCGATTTGAATTTTATTCACCTTGAATATGTAAGCATATTTTAAAATAGTGGGCTTGTGGGAGCGACGTAAATTTAAAATTAGATCTTTCGTCACACTTCATTAGCTTTTAAGGCACGTTCGACAGATTCCCAACAACTCTTTAAATATTTTTGAACACTATTTTCACAAGCCTCAACGCGCGAAAAAAAGAAATGGTATTCGAGACATCCAACGTGTTTTTGATTGAGGGTTCTCGTCCGGCGATGATTATCCAATCGTCTTTAAACTGATCTAGTAATTACATGTTTGAATTGTCTTTACTGGAGCAATTTATTGCGCTTTCCGCGGAGCGATGCTTTGTATGTTGTGCCGGATAGTTCGCAGGTGAGACCTTTTATTTATGACTTCTTGAAATGTTGTGATTTGCAAGAGAATGCCACCAGAAATTTTTACTCGCGTCCAAAACAAACCTTGGGAGGATTTGCTATACTTGATAACGCGGGTTAATTTTTTTTTTACAGGAGTGTTCCTAAACAGTGTTCTTGCGTTGCAAATAACCTTAAATTGCGTTCTCATTGTTGCCGCCAGCTGTTTATGAATTTGTCGTTATTTTATTATATAGTGTTTTGGTTTAAGCTCTGTCGGTTCCAATAGACACATCGCGTTTTTATCTTCGTTAAAGTATAACATACCAGCTTAGTTATGGGATTTGTTTTGAAGCAAATGAGCTCCAAAAAGGTTCAGGTTTGGCCGTGATTCGTTATAAGCGCCTTTAAGTCTAACGACGAGTGCAAAGCGATAGCGGAAAAAAAAAAACAACCAAAAGCAAACAATGTGGGGTAATTTCCGGTTCCACTCGGGACTTTTTTTTTTTTTATTGCTTACTTTCTTGTTGCCTGTTCGTTTTAGTTTAGAAATTGCGCCCTGCAGATAGCTGCTCAAAAAATTACGGTACATCAAAAGCGGCATGAAACCCGAATTTCTGGCGCTGTAGCGATAAGTATTCTGCGCCATAAAAAATATCTGCTTGCGTTGCACTGTACTTGTTTTGTAGAGAGTCATCGCTTCCCAGCTCACGTGGTCTTAAAACACGATTAGCCAAGAATATCGTGGATTCCTGCCAGAAAAGACGTGGATATAAAAATAAACAAAAGACCCGGTAAAACATCTCAAAGCCATGGCTGCAGTGAATTTTTACCGCTGTTAAAAGCGAGCTTCGCAGTCGCTCGTGCCCTTAAGAATGTCGTGTTTTGAGGTTGACAGACTGTAAAACGTTCGCAAGCAGTTCAATCGTGTGGATTTTTGACCGTCATGTGGCTGTTTTTCTGCATGAGAAGGTATTGCACTTGTTGCTTCTTTACTGATCCACCTGCTGTTGTTGCGTTACGAATTTGGAAACGTTTTTCTTGATCAACAGCATCTAACAGTCGATGCCTCGGTAGGAGAGCTTCATGGCCGATAGACATCACTTGCTTTCAGCTTTCAGATGTGCTACCGGAAGGCACTTAGGTGATGTTCAACCATGCTCCTGGCAGTTACATGCAACGTTCAAATTTTATTTTTCTGCTACGTTGAAAATATTGACAGGTTTTAGTTACCGATGCAGCCAGTTTCTTGCTGAAATCATTTTTTCTTTCGAATGTGACGAACGAGCCTGTTAAAAGGTTAACACTGAAATGGTTTCCTTGCAACTGTCACCTCGTCACTTTCCAACATTCGGTAATATATTCTGTTTCACGAACGAGCGCTCTCGTGTTTAACTCGTTAAAACCTGTTTTGTAAAATTATCATGTTTTTTGTTTTTAGTTTTTTTGTAAAAAATCCGCTTCTTCAGCTTTTAGCCTGGTCACCTCAGCTCTCGTAGAAATGAGGTTGCGTGTGTTGCTTAGGACAATTGTACCCATTCGAAGGCATGTGACGCAAATATGTCATTAGGCGATTGTAATTTCACAAAAATTATGCAGCTTTTCTGACCTGGAAATGTGTTTTTCATTGGCTTTGGCTTATTAACGTGTTAACACAGCTTCGTTGTCGAGCGCTGGTTTTCACGTTTTTCACTCGTCTTTATCGAACGTGGCATCTGAGTCACTACCAGCTGCCGTATAAGCAATTTTCGGCCGGTATGTTCACCTCAGTACTTGTACGATTTTTTTGATTGGACAAAAAATTTATTTGCGGATTGCATGCAAAAAAGTTGGTTTTGATCAAATTCATTGCAGGGGTAAAGGAAAAAAAAAACATTGAACAAAGGGCGGAACAGTTAACTTTTTCATGAATCTAGACACTCGTAGCTGCGAGTTTGAGATTAGTGAAACCGTAGCTCAGATTTTTAACAGCCAGTTCGACAATTGTCGTGCACGCAAATATCAATGTTACCGGGTTTTTATTTTCGCTTGCTTTACCCGCCTTGTCGATTATTTACCGCACACGATCCGTGAGAGTATTAGGAGGCCAGGTTTTTAACAGACGTCCTGTGTTGTCCGTAATGAGTTTATTTATTGACCATATTTTAGATGTGTTTTTATTTTTTTTTGTTGGCTTGTTGCAGGTACCTAACCTTGCGAGAGCAGAAGCTTATGAAACGGCGGAAGGAGGCTGAAAATCTGTTGGAAGACAAAAAGAAGCTCCTAGAATGGGAAAAACGACTTGATAAAGAGGAAAGTCTTGTAAGGAACCTTCTCAACGAAGCTCTCAGTCTCGAGAGCTCGAGGAACAAGGCAAGAACAACAAGCATTACAAGTGAAGAGGAAGAACACAAAGGTAAGAGATAAGATTAATAGAAAGACTAACAACAAATGCTCCGAGAATGAAAAACCGTAACTGTAACCCACTTATCACTTAGAAATGATCGGTTTTAAAATTCTCCATACTACTGCACGGCAATTTCAGAGGAACACGTCATGAGAATATGAATCTAATCATGTCAAGAAATTGAAATTAAATCCTTTCAAGGAATACGTACTCAGTGTTGTTAGGATTGGGAGAAACGAAAAAAAAACGTTTTTTTGTTTTTCAACTTTTTCTTCTCTTTGTGTTGATACAGCAGTGATGACCCTTTTCATATGAAAAACAGTCTTCAGGCTAGAGTTGATCGACAACAGCTAATGAATATCATCCGAGTCTTCTATTCTTTCGTTTCCTTTGGGGCAGTTGTTTTCATTGCTGGTTTTAACTAATATTCAATTACAGTTTAAGAACAACTAAAGCCCAAATTGAAAGGTAAATTAAAAGAATTGTTAACTTCAGAATTTTGCAGTTTTCGTGAGAAAACGAATACACAGTTATTTGATAACCCATTATGTGTGACATTTATGTCCTCTTTGTTCTCTCAGGGAGTTGAATCTGATATATCTATGTCATGATCTTATGATTGATTGTGACTGAAACGTTTTGCCGTATTAGTTCCACTCCCCTCATTACAGGTCACCCTCTTCTTTAATGTTTATTGTTCCGTTGCAATTTCAGTAGATCGCAGTGGTCGAGGATCTGCCAGCCTTTCGGCGTCCCGAAGTCCCTCGAGTAAAGTTAGCGATAAAGGTCGATCCCCTCAACGAACAGAGAGTATCAGCGAATCCATCAAGGTCTCCGGATCACGTGGCCACGAACGTAGCGTCAGCGAGAGTTCAGTCCCCGAGGATATCAGCGTCTCTGCACGTGACAAGTCACGTGATCGTTTGGAGAAGTCACATGAAAGCTCCATCCCCGAGGTGGACATGAAGACTCGGTCCCAGGGAAGCTCGATTCCTGAGGAGATTCCTGAGGAATATGTCAACGACACTTTCGAGTCTCTGGATAGCACAGCCACGCCGGTGCACTCCACCCCTGTGCGGAGCGATTTGTCGCTCAAGCGAGACACCTCTCCCGCGGTCAGCCGCAGGTCTTCTGCAGGAGAAGGGAGTAAAAGCGAGGAAGAGGCATCGATGACTGGTGAGTTGTTACCTGAAAAAAAAAGTAAGAATTCATTGTGCTATTTAGTCAATAGATAGCAAAAGGCAACCAGTAGTGGTTAGATTTTGTAGAACAGTATTCAACAAATAACAAGAGTCCATTGGGAAATAACGTTCAGTAAGGGAGTCTAGGATGAAAAGGGATTAGAATATTAACAAACTTAGAACTTCAGGCCTGCTTTTTCAAGTCTTGTAAGTGTTCCAGTTGTGTTGTTTTGTTAGCATCGTTTAACTTTTGTTGTACTTTCACCACACAAGATCAAGAGCTTTGTTCCGTCTATCAATATACATTTATTCTCTTTTTAATTAATGGAAGTAAATTTCTCCTTTGCGAGAGTTAGTTCCTCTAATGGAAGTGACTGCAAATCTATTAAATTTCCCTGTCAAGTGATAATTTTACCTTAAATGGTGAGAAGGTGTTCGTTTGTTTATTCGTTTGTATAATCCCCGGGGTATTTTAAGCCCCGTAACAATTGAGAAAGGGAAAAGAGACATCATGGTAAACGGTATGTGATCGCAGTGTTTTCATTTTTATAATGATTACCGCTTTTTATTTTACTTAACGCTTTTGGAGCTCCGTTATGGGAATTTACCCAATTCAAAATGCTTGTCCCGTCTTGAAGACTGTAGAATCATTGCTTTCCATATCTTCCCGTGAAGAAAATAGGTCAAAAGGAATGCAGCATTTCAATGTATTTTAATTACTATTTATGAGTGACAATATTCCACCCACGAGTAAATAAATTGATCTTTTCGTCCGTTTTCCATCAGCTGTAAGCGTGACAAAAGACTTATTAAATTAGAGGCTCGTGTCAGTTAACATTGATATTGACTTAGTTCACGATTCATTCGCTCTTAGTGACTCAAGCCAAGCCGTGTTAGTGAATGTTTGAAGTATTTCCGAATGTCGGTATTGCCAGGACTAGTTGATTTATTCATCGCATTTTCATGTTTCCATTTATTGAAAACGAACGTTACCTCTTGTTTTTGTCGTGGCAGGGCTCTGGTCTTGTACATATCTTCCTACGGTTTTGAACAATAGCTCTTCCCCCTAAACGAATCTAATATCGTTACAACTACTCCCTGCTAATGTATTTTCTGTGTTTCGGTTTTCTACGTGACATTTGTCTAAATTCAACCTGTTTTGACGTCTTCAGTACAACTTGGCGCAATGAATCGGACCAGCGTTTTCTTACAATTCAAGTTAATATGATTTTTTTGGTGTCCCCAATTAGTATTCATCAGAACTTTCTATTTTAAAATCAAAGGGAAGAGAACCATAGAAGAGAAATAGTCGATGATATCATACCTTCTAAGTAGTTAGTGATAATTTGCATGACAAAGTCACCTTTACAATCTTCCCTCCAAACTCGCTAAAATACTTCGTTTTATTTGTCCCCTTCCTCACTTTGGCTTTTCGCTGTCCTTGCTGAAAAGAAAATCAATAGGGAAGTTGTTAACGCTTAGTTCAAGTTTACCCTTTTATATCATTTGTAAGCTGCAGTAGAATTCATTTGATCATAAGCTATCGCCTCGAGGAAAGTTTCCATAGAATTTCCCTGTTCCTTGAAATATGCAATGAATATTTAACGTCGGCTCAGCTCCGAAACAACTTCCCACTCGTGGAATGACGGGACGGCAAGAAATATTTTCCGCGATATTTCAAAAGTATTTCTGTTTTAACACGAAGTTTACTCATTAGGCAAATTTAAGTTTGTTTTGCGTTCCCTCTTTGGGCTACCTTCAGGCGTTACCTGTCTCTTTCCTGAGAAATGCTGGATTACAGCTCGTAAGTTTTACACACCCCTTTTGTAATATTTGTATTTTGCAAGGTCTTGTGTAGGCGGTCATCTAAATGGCTTCTTGAATTTCTAGTGACATAAATGCTTGCTTCGTTTATTTCGTCGCGAAGTCGTTTTGCATCATCTAATACTTTTGAAAGTCTGAATTTTCATTGCTATCTCTGATTATATCGTAGCCGTAAATTTTTAGGTAACGACGTAGAGAAGGTTATTAAAAGGTAAACAAAACTAATTTGAAATACTCAGTGAGATTCATAATAATCTCAGAGGCTTTTCTAACTTCCATGTTTGGATTTAGGTACTCTCAAGGCATCGTGTGAGTGAGAGGGAAATGATTGTGAACTTAATTCTCCGGCGTTACAATGTATGCTTTATGGCGCTGTTAACGAACTTGTTAACTCGAGCCGGCGACCTCTCTGGGAGATATCAAGAAGTTGTCTCTATAAGATATCTTAGTACAACTTCGATATTTCTAAAGAGAATCGCTGGGCTTTATCATTTATATAACCGTGAAATTCCTGTATACCAAATTTCCGCTGGTGATAAACAAACGTTTTTGTCCCAAAACGAAACAGTTATCGTGGATTTTCTAGGAAATATAAACGACAGCTTGAGGCCGATGTCTTGCTATTGAATCCTAACAAGAAACGTTCCCGTGTCTGTCCTGCGTCAGTTACAATGCTTCAACGTTAAGGAGTTGCAGAATCCGTTATATGTGGGTTGCGAATGAAACTTGGATAAAGCTTAAAATAATAGCCCCGAGTGGGCTAAATCAAGGTTGAACTTAGACCACTAAGCGAAACCCTGCAATGAGAACGAAGCGGCACGAAGGTCACTCTGGGGCCCCGCCATCGCTCGTGTATCTTGACGACTTATGTTTTTAAAAAGAGACGGGATAAAGCTTAAAAAAATAGCTCCGAGTGGGCTAAATCAAGGTTGAACTTAGACCACTAAGCGAAACCCTGCAATGAGAACGAAGCGGCACGAAGGTCGCTCTGGGGCCCGCCATCGCTCGTGTATCTTGGCGACTTATGTTTTTTAAAAAGAGACCGATATCAATTAAAGTTGTACTTTAACATCTATGAATCACGCTAGATATTGGCCAGCCGGATTAGTTGGCTTCTCAAGTTAGAGCTGAGAGGTCTTAGCACGTATACATGTTCGGAAGCGGCTGTTTTCGCTGACTGCTGAACTGTTAGTGAAAATTGCTCTCAACCTCGTCTCATTTTTCCATAGGAGAGATGAGATTGTTTGCGGTACAGTGAGGGATTACAGCACACAAACACGCTCAAGAAGCTCAAGTGTGTCATGTTTTTTAGCATACTAAAATCAAAATTCTTGGGTAACATCAAACTTGCTAGTGGGTTTTAAATAATTTCCTGGGTCAACCTTTTTTCTCTTGAATCGCGTGTCGCACGCTTTTATCACATCGAATATTTGAGAATGTCGCTCATTCAGCCTTTCTTATTTCGCCTATTAAAAGGCAGGTTGGCGATAGCTAGCCAAAAGCTCTGAAAAGCACTACCGATCATCGGCGAATGCAGTCGCCTATAATCACAAGAGGAGACACGATCTTCTTCCTCTCTCACTAGCCATCAGAAGTTCCACAAACATGATTTCTTTAGTCTTTTGTTCCAATGGCATGATGGAAGTTTACCAGCTGACAGCTGACTGTGTTCTCAAAAGTGTAAAGTTGATGTGCAGCAATCGTAGATTTAAGGCCAAGAAAACGTTAGTTAACGTTTGAAACAAGATGAAACTCGGAACACGTATGCAAATTGTTAGTTATAAAATTAGAACAAAACAGATGGTCGCTGATTGCTGTTTTATATAATCACGCCATCGAAGAATCGCTGGCGATCAAATGGAAACTAGACGAAGTTAAAGAGAGAGTTTCAACTGATCATCAGAGACAGATTATAACTATTACTGGAATAACTAACCGAACCTTTTCCACTTTACTGGACGTTCGTCTTGGTCGTGTGGCGATCGAGAACTGAAAACGTAAATTTATATAAGACCTTGAATTAAGACAATGGGAATTTCGTGTACGCGTAGGAGGTGACACGAGACATGGCTTGCTCCCACAGTTTACATCCTTGTCATTTATTCAAATCAGGGCTTAGTCTTTCTCGCACACTTCCTGTGTTGCTCTTTAATTAAGCTTGGTTTTCATTAGTAATACGAGCGTAGGCATGAGAATAACACCTCAATGAAACATAACAATAACAATAGTAAGAAACATGGGTAGAACCAAGCGCTAAGAAAACTAACACGCTCGTTCTTATTTTCAGTTCCTCAGTTGACAAAAAAAAGCGGCAACACAGGCACAAAAAAATAGAAACTGGTCTTCGTTTTTAGTTTTTTAGTGTCATTTCTCATTTCTCGTAACTAAACCAAGAGAGAGGAAAATCGCCTTCCGTCTGGCCTGAACATCAGGTCTTCTTAGGGAGAGGGGGAGGGTAGGAGAGGAGAGGAAGGGGAGAAGAGAGGGAAGGGGGAGGGGAGAAGAGACTGGAGGGGAGAGGGGAGGAGACGAGAAGCGGAGGAAGCTTTATTTTCATTTTCCTTTGCATCTTATTTCCTCCTCCTTCCACCTTACCATCGGAAAGCCTAATACTCAAGCTGCCTTGCTTACCCCCAATTCCCTCGTCTGCATTCCTTTCCATGTTTGCCTCAGTTAACCTTTCATTGAAATGTTTACAAATTAAGAATTCCCCCCTCCTTTTGATCTTTTGCCTTGTTTATTTCGAGACACGACTTACTCACAGGCTGACTTCTATTTCCACCGTTTATTTTTTAGAAACGTCGGATCACAGCGACATCGAGTCACGCGTCCGCCGGCTGAGAGACCAACTGGAAGTACGCAAGCGTGAGGTAAAACGCTTGTATAATGAAAGAAAAAAGCAAAGGAAAGCGATGTTACGGGCACAGGAGGCTAGTTTGAGACAGGAACTGCAGGTAACGTTGGTTTTGATGTGTGCTGATCCGCTACACGTGCATGCGTTTGTAATTGATCTTAACGCTTACGTACACGTCTTTGTTTAATCCAGTGACCTCCGGAGTCACGTGCTCGTTCGTTTAGCGTTTAAGCGGGAAATCGACAGCGAATGTTGACAGGAGAGAATCCACTTTCAGTTCAAAACTTAATCTAAATACTCTTCACAGACTCTTCGAAAACGCCAAGAAGCGGCCGTCATTTTGTTAACAAGGGCACACTGCTACGCTACTCACTATCTATCACAGAATAGATAGTGAGTAGCGTAGCCAATCAGAGAACGGCAAACGCTAGTAGATTTATACTGAAACAGGATAGGTAGTGAGTTGCGTGGTTAATAGGAGAACGGCATTTTGACAGAGTGCTAATAGATTTACACTAATAAACTAGAAGTAATCAAAGATTATGAGAGTGCGTTCGACGCCGTCACTTAATTAAATATATATAAATAATTTCACTGGCTGACTTTTAACCTCTGTCTATTGCTAAAATCAACGTTTTTCATCGATAACCGCGGTTTTTATACAGACAGATTTATCATAGTGTCAAAGTCCACCATTTGTTGACACGTTGCGTGACAGCGCAAGTTTCCGTAGACTCACAAGTTTAATAGAACGAAAATATTTACATTTACAGCCTTCAAATTTCGTGCTAAATATTCTCACATTAACTGGTAATGTTTGAACGTAAAAGCGAATTTGTAAAAGTAAATTTTACAAACATTATTCTAAACTGGAAGCACAAATGTAAGCAAACATTTGCAATCGTGTGCTCGTTTATCGTCAGCTTAAACAAACTCCGTGCGACTAATTCGCGTATCATGTTCCCCTGATAAATAAGGTAGACAGTATTTAAATAATTTGCCGTTCCTTGGTTCAGGCTCACTCTTATGGATCTTGCCTTCAGAGTACTTTTCCACCGATTCCAAACAAT